CCAGGCTGGTTTTTGTTTTTTTTTTTTATACCGGAGCCTTATCATTTGGATCCTGCTTCAAGGAAACAGCAGGTGATAATAGAACATGCTGTGTGCACTTAATATTTTAATCTGCACAAATACACAAAACAAGATTAATTATAGTAGTCAAACCTCCCTACAAGTCTGGGAAGATGAAGGAATGCTTGATTACAAGGGGGTGAAAATTCCCCTCACTTTGTACCCGTGTACCTGTGCATGTAATTATGAGCCTAGAGGGCCCCACTTTCCAATTTTCTATTTTATCACCAAGTAGTTTACAAGTCCCGGGAAGGACACAGCAGCAAACTCTAATAATGGAGGGTAGTATTCGTCAATTAGAATAAATGGAAATGCTCCCCCCGCTCCCGCCCTCATATAGCTGAAATAAAGGGAAATTCTGATCAAGAACTCTCTTTCTGTCTCCCTGTCTCTTTGTCTCTCTCTACCGATCTCTCTGTCTCTGGCAGTCTAATACCCGAGTGCATGAGTTTTGGAGACGGATTCAGCACCCTCCACAGTAGCCTATGAACACAGTCCCGCATTAACTGCCTGTTCCAGTGAGCAAGTCCTAGGTAATGAATCAATGCAAAATATAATGGTTTCAAACAACAGAAGCTTATTACAAAATTTTGAAGAGCTAGGTTCAGGAGCCTCTAAAAGCCCACGTCATCAGACCGTGTCACGTCTACAGAGTTTCCCCAGACTCTCCGAAGTTTGCACACCTGTCCTATGAGACTAGGCCCCTGGGAGGCCATCATGAATGACCCACAGACCCGTGCATCTGTGAACAGCCCCGCCAGTTCACACAACAGGCAGATAAGCCTTCACAGCGCAAACACCACGGGCGCCCTACTCTAGTCCCAAGTCGAATATGCCTCAATGTCAAAATTCATGCTCTTTGTGAATAGCCAAAATGCTGGAAGACAGGTTGAAGGGCCTTCCTGTTGAGATGTAAAAGACTTTCTCTGGGGTCATAAAGAATAGGAGCCAATAGTTACTGAGGCTTGCTACGTGTAGTCAGAGCCTTTTACGTGTATTACCTCATTTAAGCCTTACAACAACCTCATGAAGTGGGAACCATTATTTGCCCACCCCCCGCCCCGCCTTTATGAGTGTGGAAACTGAGGCATGGAGCGATAAATGAATTGCTTCATTCTGATAAAGCCACACAGGAAATGAGTGATGAGATTCAGACCATACAAAGCAAAATAAGGAGTTGCTGAATATTTGGTGAATCTGAGCAAGTTGTCTGTCAATCTGTTGAGCATCATCCACATAGACTAAGGGAAACACTTACAGAGAATAAGTTGAAATAGAAAATAAACTGTCCCCCAAAATGTCAGACTTGAGTTGTACGACTGGCCTAAGTGATGAGATGTTTAAACTTTGGAAGTCTGCTCATATGGTCTGGAAAGATGCAATTTACAGACTGTGGTGAAGTCAAAGGCATTTATGCTTTTCTTTGACACTGCGGTGAAAAGATTTGTGAGAATCTAATGGTGGATGAATAGGTACATTAGTTGGTGGATGTCAGGTGACCTTGTCTGCTTCCTGGACCTCTTCTCTTGCAGCTGTTCACTTTAACCTCCACACGTGGCCACACTGGCCTCCATTGAACATGCCAAAGCCTCTCCTACCTTAAGGTCTTCACACTTACTTTTCCCATGCCCTGAAACTCTCCTCCCTAGACCTCCACTGGGCTGGCTTCTTCTTGTCAACCACCAATTAGTTTAAAAAAAATTTTTTTTTCAACGTTTATTTATTTTTGGGACAGAGAGAGACAGAGCATGAATGGGGGGGGGGGGGCAGAGAGAGAGGGAGACACAGAATCGGAAACAGGCTCCAGGCTCTGAGCCATCAGCCCAGAGCCTGACACGGGGCTCGAACTCCCGGACCACGAGATCATGACCTGGCTGAAGTCGGACGCTTAACCGACTGCGCCACCCAGGCGCCCCAACCACCAATTAGTTTAAATGTCACCTCATCAGTGAGGCCACTGTTGAACAGCCCTGAGCCCCTCCACTGCCAGCCTCCTACCCAACCCCAGACCCCAGGTCCCTAGCACCTTATGTGTTTTCCTTCAGGTCACTTATCACAAGTTATAATCATCTTATTTATCTGTTTGTTTATTTATCTATTTATTTATTTTTGCAATCATACTTTTCCCACCTTGGAATGCAATTCTGTGAGGACAGAGACCTCATCGGTTTTGGCCACTGCTATCCCTCTAGCCTCTAGAACCATGCCTGCCACTGAAGTGGTTATGCATTAACGAAAGAACCAATATACATATGAATGGACTTGGTTGGCATTTTACCTTATTCTGAGAGTGAATTTCAGGGCTGGAGAAAGGTGATAGGGCCCTGCTTAAAGGAGGTGGAAAGACAGACATGTTGCTCTTCAGAGAAGCAGGGAGAAAAGATGTATCTGCTTAGATTTAGGAACAATAGCCATCACATGATCTGCCACGATTTCCCTGGGGGTCGGGCCCCCAAGCCCATTCCCCCTGAGCTTACCTCACTGGCAGTTCCCCTGTGGGTGCCATGCTCACCCCAAGGGAAAGGCCCCTGCTTCAGAGTTCGATGGTTGAGACCGCCTCAGGGTGATCAGGGTTGACTTAGGAGTCCTCCAGGCAGGACTGGAGGGTTTCATCTGCGGCAGCCACGTGAGTCTGGTGGTGGCAGTGAGTGCGGGCTCTGCAGCACTGGAGGATAGGGGCACAGGCATTCGGGGACAAGGGGGTTTCCTTCTTTTTTTTTTTTTTATTTATATATG